TAGATGCCTTGGGAAGCTTCTGTATGATTTAGAAAGGTATTCTTCAGATACTATAATATGGAACAATGTTTTATTCTGATTCAGCCATGTCCAACATTGGGTTGCTGAGTGACTTCACTTTAAATACTTTTAGACACAGATCATGGCCCTTTTGTGTCTCCTCTGCAAGCTGGTGTCTCCATATAACTGGTGACAGAGTCCCTAAAGTGCTTTGGATTGTGGTTCTGATAGCCTTAGGTTTGTTTGTTTCTTGCCTACTGTCAGCTTTGGAATCCTTATTAGAACTAGAAGCTTCCATACCACCACATTCCTGTGCTTGGGAAATTGGGAGGGGCAGGGGTGGGATTACAGATAACAGATAATCAGAGTTGGAAGGGACCTTGTAGGTCATCTAGTCCAACCCCCATCCAAGCAGGAGACCCTACACCATTTCTGACAAATGGCAGTCCAATCTCTTCTTGAAAGTCTCAAGTGATGGTGCTCCCACAACTTCTGGGGGCAAGGTGTTCCATTGGTTGATTGTTCTCACTGTCAGAAAGTTTCTCCTTATTTCCAGGTTGAATCTCTCCTTGTTCAGTTTCCATCCATTATTCCTTGTCTGGTCTACAGGTGCTTTAGAAAATAGTTTGAGCCCTTCCTCTCTGTGGCAGTCCCTCAAATATTGGAAAACTGCTATCATGTGACCCCTGGACCTTCTCTTCCCTAGACTAGCCCAGTTCCTGCAACCGTTCTTCATATGTTTTAGTCTCCAGTCCCCTAATCTCCACTCCCCTAATCATCCTGTTTGCTCTTCTCTGTACTTTTTCTAGAATGTCAACATCTTTTTTGTAATGTGGTGAACAAAACTGAATGCAATGCTCTCGGTGTGGTCTTACTAAGGCTTTATAGAGTGGTATTAGTACTTCCCTTCATCTTGATCGTATCCCTCTGTTAATACAATTTAGGATTGAATTAGCTTTTTTGGCTGGTGCTGCACACTGCTGGCTCATATTTAGCTGGTTGTCCACTAAGACTCCAAGATCCCTCTCACAGATACTGCTATTGAGCCTGGTTTCACCCAGTCTATATGTGTACTTTTGGTATTTCTTGCCTAAGTGTAGAACTTTACTTTTCTTTACATTGAATTTCATTTATCAGATACGGCCCAGTGTTCTAGTCTGGCAAGATCCATCTGGATCTTGAGCCTATCTTCTTGGGTGTTAGCTATTCCTGCCAGCTTAGTATCATCTGCAAATTTGGTAAGTTCCCCTTCTACTCCCTCATCTAAGTCTTTAATGAAGATATTGAAGAGTACTGGGCCTAAGACAGAACCTTGTGGCACCCCACTGCTTACTTCCCTCCATGTAGACTTAGACCCATTAAGGACTACTCGTTGAGTTCAGTTTGTCAGCCAGTTGCGAGTCCATCTCGTGGTGGTGCTATCTATTCCACTTTTTTCTAGCTTACTAAGAAGTAGGTTGTGGTCTACTTTGTCGAATGCCTTGCTGAAATCTAAATATATCATGTCCAAAGTATGTTGCTGGTCTACTAATTTAGTCATTGTGTTGAAGAATGAAATAAGATTGGTTTGGCATGATCTGTTCTTAACAAACCTGTGCTGACTGCTAGTTATCACTTTACTTGTTTCTAGATGTTGGCAGATCTGCTTTTTTATTAACTTTTCCAGTATCTTCCCAGGTATTGATGCTAGGCTGATTGGTCTATAGTTTCCTGGGTCTGTTTTTTTCCCTTTTTTGAAGATGGGAATCACATTAGTTCTTTTACAGTCCTCTGGTAGTTCCACGGTGCTCCAGGATTTTTGAAAGATATGGTGCAGTGGTTCTGAGATGACCTCTGCCAGCTCCTTTAAAACTCTGGCATATTCATATAAATAATATCTCATATAAAATGATGGAATAAATAGTTAAGTCATGGATGATTAATAATTGATAAATATATAAGCATATGTTAGTTTGACAATGTGAAAATTTATATAGACTGTGAGTAATGACTATGAAAGGATAGCACAAAAGATTTGTAACCAACTGACACACTGTATGTATATAAAATGGAAGATGGTTTTATGTTTTTATGTTTTGTTTGTATATGTTTGTCTTAAAAATAAAAACTTTTATTAAAAAAAAAATAAAACTCTGGGATGTAATCCATCAGGCCCCAGTTATTTGTGTTCATCCAGATCAGACAGATATTCTCTTACTATTTTTTTGCTTATTTTAACTTTTATTTCTGGTCTGTCTTTTACATTTATGTTTTTGGTTGGTTGAGCTATAGTTTTTTTGTGTAAAAATGGATGCAAAGAATGAGTTAAGCAGTTCTGCTTTCTCTCTATTTCCTGTTACTTCCTTGCCATCTTCTCTCTTTAGTGGACTGACTGTTTCCTTGATTCTGGATTCTACCTGGTCAGACTGGTTCTATATAACTGGTTGTTACGATTCTGCACAGTTCGGAGAACTGGCAAATCATGACACTGGTGGGCCGTGCCCCTCCCCTCCCCTCCCACTCACTGCTTACCTGGTATGCGTGCCATCAAACTTGCCTGCTAATTTATTTTTCTTTCTTTTTTCCTCCATCAGCTATTCTGCTGTGCCTATTTAGATTAGCTAGAAAGCAGGAAATTGTTGGATTTCTTGCTTTCTAGCTAATCTAAAAGGAGAGCTGAACCTATTTTTCAGTGCAGACTCAGCTAGCAGATTGCAGAAAGATAGATCTCTGAATGAATCTGTGATTCTGTGAGCAACTCAATCTGCCTGTCTGCTTTGCCTGATTTGGGGTAAAAGTTGCTCTTTTTTAATTAAAAAAAACATATTTACATAAACATTAATAATATTTATATACAAGCCATGCCCAGCCAGTCATATGACCACCAAGCCACACCCACAAATTAGGCCATGCCCACAGAACTGGTTGTTAAGAAATTTAAAACCCACTCCAGGGAAGGGAAGTTTCATGGGGTATATGTACTTAGACATAATAGCATTTTTCTTTACAGTCAAGGGCATGTTACTCCTGCACCTGGATGAAGAGTGGTTGAAGGGATGTCTCTATGGGAACGGATGGTGATTGGGGCATGTGATGGAGTGATGGGTGCAGGGGATGGATTTTGTATTTTTTTAATTACTGGAGGAAAAAACAGGAACATTCAGATTTGGGTTTTCTCAGATGTGCCAGTGTGACAATTTTAATAAAGTGGAACTTTGAGAAGCACCTATCTTGGAGTTTTGGTGTTAGAGTTTGTTTTCCTGGAATGCTGAGCCCCTACATTTAACAAAGAAGAAGGAAATACTGTTGACTAGTGCCCGAGTTCAGTTTTGAACTGAATCCAATGAAAGTGAATCAAGAGTGAATAGAGATTGTTTTGGTCCCAGTAAGAAAGAAACTCTGGCATCAGTATTTAGTTTGTCCTGGTGGGAGGGAGGGTCTCCTGAAAAGAATTGTCCATAGTCTGTGGTGTTTTTAAACATATCCGACTTGGCTTACTTTCACTCCACTGTGATAATGCAGTCGGCCTTCTGCTCCTAAGGAGGAGGTTCAAAGCACTGAATTCATAATCATAATCAAGGTCCAAGGTGAGATAATATTTGACTCAGAAAACTGGACTACTAAAATATGACTCTGATCCAAAGGAGCCCTTCCTAATATCTGAAGGAATGAGATACAGTTTGAAAGAAAATGCTGCTTAGAGTTTGCCTTTGAATTATAAGAGGGCACTTCATTTTAAAAACAGAAAGAATCTTTTCTTGGATACTTTGCTAGGTCTTAAAAACAGGTCTTAAAAACTTTCTACACATGGCTTTTAATCAGTGGCAAGATTCAAAAAAAAACTTACTACTGGTTCTGTGGGCATGGCTTGGTGGGCTTGGCGTGGCTTGGTAGATGTGGCTTGGTGGACGGGGCAGGGGAAGGATACTGCAAAATCTCCATTCCCTCCCCACCTCACTAACCTGCTTTCCAGCTTTGAACTCCTGTGCAGGGCAACACAAGAAGACTCAGCTGACTAGCTGGGACTCGGGAGGCAGAGAATAGATTGGGGCAGGGCCAGTCAGAGGTGGTATTTGCCAGTTCTCTGAACTACTCAAAATTTCCACTACCGGTTCTCCAGAACTGTTCAGAACCTGCTGAATACCACCTCTGCTTTTAATCATGTCCATTTGTTGCAGTAAGGGATGCCTGTCTTTTTGAAGAACATGTTTTCATGTTCTCTCCACCTCATTTCATCACAGTTCTGGAAACAATGCAGAAACTCTTAATCCTATTTCACCAACATTTCAGTCAAATAAATTGAACAAATTAATATACAAATAAACAATAAAAACATTTTCTTCAAGGTTGGCAGCCCTAATTTCTAAGGAATTTTTCCTTTATATCTTAATTTGGAGATGGTTTTGGATTACTTCAAAAGGGAAGTAGCTTTGCAATGTTTTATATAGTCCAGAAGAAATGTTTCCAGATCATACTGGTCAGAGGCTTCTTCCTCCATCATCAATTTAATCTATTTTAACTAGTCTAATGGAATAAAAAATAATAAATATTTTAGAATTAATTTTATTCTCACTTTTATATGAATAGATCCTCATACTTTAAAATCATGGCTATATGAAGAATAGAGGAATGCATATTAATACGACTATGGTGAGGAACCCACTGGTTGTAACTTACAGCATAATTCTTTTCTCAATTCCATTGCTGCAGACTTTATTAAGTACAAAAAAATTCCTCTCTTGCAATATTAGACCATGTACAAAAGGGAAGAACTAAGCCAAGAATTTGTGAATAGTGGTATTTCTTGCAACTGTTTGAAACATGTCAGAGATTACATAATTTCCTACATGAAGCTCAGAGACACTGTCTAAAGTTCATATTAACCACCATTTTCCATGGATGGTGAGTCCTAACACATTTTTTGGTCATTCCTTCTTTTTCTGCTTAGTCTTTGCCTCAGTCCAAATGTGTGGAAAGTTGTCATCCTGGATTTGTCAAGCGGGCTCAGGAAGGACAGCCAGTTTGCTGCTATGACTGCGTTCCTTGTACAGAGGGGACCATCTCAACTCAGGAAGGTGGGTGATGCAAGAAGTAATGCTCCTGGATATATCCAGAGCATTTCAATCAATACACCTTTAAAAGATATACCGCATCTTTTGGAGTATAAGATGCTCCAAAGTATAAGATACACCTAGCTTTGGGGGAAGAAAACAAGAAAGAAAAATCTGCCTCTGCCTCCCAGCCATTTGCCTCCTTGCAGCAAACAGCCTGTTTCAGTTTCAGCTTCAGCTTTCAGCTTCAGCACAGCCTGATTAGCACAAGCAGCTGATTGTCAGTTGGATTGGCCTCTCGATGTTCAGCTGTTTCAGGCTGCAGGGATTGCCATAATCTATTGCCGCCTCCTTGCGCCCCATTTTCAGCCTCCGCATGCCCCATTTTCAGCCTTCGTGTGCCCCATTTTCCTCCAGTTCTGGGTGGCGGGGATCAGAATGGGTGGAAAATGGGGTGTGCTGAGGCCGAAAATGGGGTATGGAGGCCAACAATGGGGTGCACGGTGGTGAAAATAGGCAATGGCAATCCCTGCTGCCTGAAACAGCTGATTGTCTGGACGGCAATCCAATTGTCAATCAGCTGCTTGTGCTAATCAGGCTGTGCTAAAGCTGAAACTGAAACAGACTGTTTGCTGCTTTCTGCAAGGAGGCAAATGGCTGGGAGGCAGAGGCCAAAGGGTGGGGGCCAGTGGGTGGGTGGGTGGGGCTTCAGCAACATTTGCTGTATAAGATGCACAGACATTTTCACCACTTTGGGGACTGGAAAAAAAATGTGTCTTATACTCCGAAAAATACGGTAGATCTAAGCATGACTATTTTCTTATTGTTGTTTGTTATCAACAATTTATGTCACATTGGGAGGAATAAGATTTTGAAGGGTGAGGTCGAAAGAGATAGAATGACATAGTAGCTTGAGTAAGCTTATTTCTGGCAGAAAAAAATATCTCTTTTGCTTATCACTTTGGAATAAATCAATCATTCATTGTTTGAGATTATAGAACCACATAAGCAGAATAGGAGGACTATGGAGGGTGAAAGGTTTGATTCAGGAGACAAGAGAAATTCAAACAGAGGACTCAGCATAAAATCCATTGAGGTGATAGGAGTGTGGGAGAAGGAAGGGAAACTAAATTTGCCATAATTTGAAATAAAATCTGCCTCTTCCCTTTCCAGATCTCTGTTTTTCCATTTTATAGTTTCAGAAGTAAAAGACAAATATGGTTTTGTAGACTAGTTCAACAGTCCCAGGTTCAGCATAGCCAATAGCATGGATTCATTGGTAGGATTGCTGCTGGGCCTTCCCACTTCTAATCTTCCCAATTTTCTTGTTTGTTAAATAAAAGGTAAATACAAACAATTCCCACATGAACAAAATAGGAATATACTGTAATCATGTTCCTGAAAGAGCGGGGGAGAGGCTTAAAAGAACTGTTGGGGATTAGAAGGAATCAGTCCTAGCATAAAGGAGGACAAAAAAGAGAATCAATAAAACAAATCTACATAAGATCCATTTATATCACTGTAGAGTTCATTCATTCTCTTTAAAATTGTTATCAAATTGACTAGAAATTAAATAAATACATTGCAGTAACAGATAAAGACTCATTATCACTTCTTAAATTATTTCAGGAATAGGTCATGTTGTTTAAAATAAAGTTATTTATTTATTTATCAAACTTACATAGCCGCTCATCTTACATAAAGCAATTCTTGGTGACTTACAACCAACAATAAAATATTTGTCAAACTAGATTAAATAATGATTAAAAAGAAAGGAATACTTGAAAATATTTATGTATGATCAAACCAGCACACAGGACCTTATTACTAGGAGATTCCCAGGCCTGTTGAAAGAAACATTTTAAGATATTACTAGAAAACCTCAAGGCAATTCTGACTTGGACCAGAGGTGGTATTCAGCAGGCTCTGACCGGTTCTGGAGAACCGGTAGTGGAAATTTTGAGTAGTTTGGAGAACTGGTAAATACCACCTCTGACTGCCACCCCGCCCCCATCTATTCTCTGCCTCCCATTGAGTCCCAGCTGATCGGCTGGGTCTTCTTTGGTTGCCATGCATAGGAGAACAGAGCTGGAAAGCAGGTTAGTGGGGTGGGGAGGGAATGGGGATTTTGCAGTATCCTTCCCCTGCCACGTACACCAAGCCACGCCCACAGAACCAGTAGTAAAAAATTTGAATCCCACCACTGTCTTGGAATTAGTTAGTTTGTGTGTCCAGCCCAACACTGGATCTGTTTTACACAAGACAATTTGAGCCAAAAGTCCCCTTGAGAGTGAACTGGAGTTCAGCACTTTATTTCTGCACAGAAGCAAAGATGGATTCTTGGGATCCGAGTTCAAATCAAACGTGTCTGTTGATAGTCATGAAACTGTTTTTATCTTTTTATGAACAATTTACTTTCCATCTATCAGATGGGGCTTTCCATCTCTCAGTATCAGCTGTTCTCTGAAGAATGTATTCTGTGAAAGGAAAAGGACATAATATTAAACAAATATTGTTATCTATTTTCCTTAGATATGGAAAAATGCACCAAGTGTCCAGATGATAAATATACAAATGAGAATCGAGTCCAATGTATCCCCAAAGTTATAACTTTCCTGTCTTATGAAGAACATCTGGGCATCATGCTGGTTTCCTTGGTCCTGCTCTTTTTCCTAACCACAGGCTTTGTTGTCATCATATTTATTAAATACCAAGAAACTCCCATTGTCAAAGCCAACAACCGGGACCTCTCCTTCATCCTCCTGGTCTCCCTCCTGCTTTGCTTCTTGTCTACTTTCCTCTTCATTGGACAGCCAAGGAAAGCCACCTGTCTTCTCCGACAAACAATGTTCAGCATTGTCTTCTCAATAGCTGTGTCTTCTGTGTTGGCTAAAACAATCACAGTTGTCCTGGCCTTTCTGGCCACAAAACCAGGGAACAGGGTAAAGAGATGGTTGGGGAAGAGTTTGGCCAACTCTATCATCCTTTCTTGTTCTACTATCCAAATGTTAATCTGTGCCATGTGGGTGGGAGTTTCTCCCCCATTCCCTGACTCTGACTTCCACTCCCAGCCTGGAGAGATCATCCTGCAATGCAATGAAGGCTCTGTCACTATGTTTTATGTTGTCCTAAGCTACATGGGTTTCCTAGCTGTCATCTGCTTCACAGTGGCTTTCCTGGCCAGGAACCTCCCTGGGGCCTTCAATGAAGCCAAGTTAATCACCTTCAGCATGCTGGTCTTCTGCAGTGTCTGGGTCTCCTTCCTGCCCACCTACCTGAGCACCAAGGGGAAATACATGGTGGCTGTGCAGGTCTTCTCGATCTTGGCCTCCAGTGCTGGATTGTTGGGCTGTATCTTCTTCCCAAAATGCTACATTATCATTCTGAGGCCAGATCTAAACACCAAAGAACATCTAATGGTGAAAGTAAGAAACTGATTATGAAGCTGCTTCTTAGGCTCACAACCTTTAATTATTCATTGACAACATTATTGGTTTATGTTCTTCATTTGCATTTTTAAATCATGTAGTTTATTTAAAACCAAAGGAAAGAGAGATATGAGGAGAGTTAGACTAATTAAATTAAAATCCAAGATAACCATCCAACAATATAATACATGAAATACTAATTAATTTGTGTTTTTAAAAGTGTTGGTAGTCCTCCTTTTCCTCAGCACACAGGTGTGATGACCCAGGGCATGGCACAAAGGCAACACAATCAAATGAGCAAGAAGAGTCCCTTTATTATCTCTAACTTTGCCCCCATTGTCCAGGTTACCTTCGGCTGGAGAAAAAGTCTCCCAAGTACAGCCTTTAACTGGAGAAAATTCAGTCCAAAACAAGATACATACAGACCAGAGGTGGTATTCAGCAGGTTCTGACCAGTTCTGGAGAACTGGTAGTGGAAATTTTGAGTAGTTCGGAGTACTGGCAAATACCACCTCTGACTGGAGATTTTACAGTATCCTTTCCCTGCCACACCCATCAAGCCACACTCACAGAACTGGTAGTAAAAAAAATTTGAATCCCACCACTGATACAGACTGTAACTAAAAATCCACACAAACCACACTGCAGTAATTAACTTGACAGGGCAGGAGAAGGAATTGCCGACTTGAAAGCACGGCAAAACTCACACAGTCGGGAAGACACCAAGAACACAGATAAGCCACGACAAGGCCAGATAAATTCACGATTTGCTTCCAACATTTTGCTGTGTGCAGTTTCCCTTTTTAAACACTGTGTTCCCAGCTGCAGCTAATGAAGGAATCATGGCTCTTTCCTCCCCTGTAAGCCATGCAATTCACACTGCTCCCTTCTCCATTCCTCCTTGTGTGGCCTAGGATGAAGAGGGGATGGACTTTCAATTCCCTCTCCCTTGCTCTACCTCTTCCCTGCTCTGCCCAGCCAGACTTTGCTCTTCCCCAGTTTCTTCCATAGCCAATGGAGCCACACTCCAACTCCCTGTCAGCTGTTTGGCCTCCCCCTCCTAATCAGATTCCGACAGGGGCATGACAACAGGTTAGCCAATATTTGGCTTAAGCAACTTTTTCCAAATGGGATACATATGATCCATGTCCTGATCTTTGGAGTGCTGTAAGTGTGGCAAGTATCTTCAAAACTAGTTAGGAAGGTGTAAAACTTTATTTCCTTCACAATACTTTGGGAATTGGTATTTCCATTCCCCCAAGTTGTAGAGAAGGGTTAGTGAGGATGACATGTCACTGCAGCTTCAATTGCTCTTTCTTCTGATGTATTTTTTTCAATAATTTCCTTTTAGTTAAGCTCCAAAATCAAGCTCCATCTTCTTTGTGGCTTAGCCTTTCTTAGTCTCCAATTCCAGCTTTTGTGGGCTGAGGCATTGAGGAGACTTCTGGTGAATAATATCCTGTAGCAGACATTTTTATAGCCTGTTACTTCATGACAGGACTGGTTTACTGTTATTCTTTGTTAATTCTCAGTTGACTGCCCTAGCACCCTCTAGCGTATCTGATATTCCTAGTTTCTAATGAAAATAATACAAGCCATATGGTTGGTGGTTGGCTGGGGAAAGTTTTTTTTAAATATATATGGAAAAGTCCTTGATTCAAGTTAAGAAAATCTCCCCAACTGTAAGAGCCACCCACAAAGGAGGAATGAAAGGAGTCAGATGGGAATAGAGGTGGTATTCAGCCAGTTCTGACAAGTTCTGGAGAATTGGTAGTGGAAATTTTGAGTAGTTCAGAGAACCGGTAAATACCATCTCTGGTTGGCGCTGCCCCTGTCTATTTGCTGCCTCCCAAGTCCCAGCTGATCAGCTGGGTTTTCTTTTGTTGCCCTGCACAGAAGAACGGAGTTGGAAAGCAGGTTAGTGGAATGGGGAGGGAATGGGGATTTTACAGTATCCTTCCCCTGCCACTCCCACCAAGACACACCCACAGAACTGGTAGTAAAATAATTTGAATACCACCACTGGATGGGAGGAAAATAAA